AATGAGATCAGAATTGTGGGACAACCGGTCGAACAGCGCGTCGAACCGAAGAACTCGCGCATCAGGGAACCGATCGCTATCGGGTAAGGTTCGGTACTTTCTACAATAGCGACGGATATCAGGCAGTGCCATTGTGCAGCCAGTTGCTCAGAACGAACCAGGACGCCCCAATGGTTGACGGATCGCTTCAACAACCCCTTATTTGAATTCCAGTGCATTCGGTCGACATGCACTGCTAACTTTTTTCTTTTCATTTTTTTACTTCTTTTTACTGAATATACAAAGATACAAATTTTCAGGAAGGGGGAAGCGGCCAATCAAAGGGCTGCCATTCAACACACAATGGGGAAATACAGGCAGTGGTAGTGGGATTCGAACTCACATCCCCGGAGTGATAATTTGGTGATGTTACCACCGGGCGGATGAAACAGCTGAAACAGTGCTTCCCAGGTTAATCAGTGGTAACAAGTTGATTCTGCTTGGTGAATAAACTTCCATGAAAAAATTATACGTCACAAACCGTATCATGCATACTTAAGGAAAGAAAAAAACATAAACACAGTTTATGAAACGATTGTACGAAGGACCGAATACGCATTGCACTTACTTCGTAATGCGCAAAGCATCTTCCAAAAAGAATGTTTGAACATCAAACAAACGACCCGGAATATCCAACTTTGGACAATTATCTGTGTGATTGGGAGAGATGAGAATCGGCGTCGTGAACAACGTTAATGTTGCGAACGAATCACACACCCAACGATATCAACAGCAAACATAAACAACCCAACGAGTACAACAGTGATTCGAGAGCCACCCAAACAATCTACAGTGTATGAAACTCCTAAATACACGAATTGGGTGCATTCTATCACACACCCAAGTTATTTTCCATATAACACCCAGGGTCGCTCATTAGTTGCGTCCATTTTTTATGGGACAAATTACGTATTTTAATATCTGCTTACGGAAACTACACACTTATTCTCTTCTACGACTGATTACCGTAATATGAGTTATTTTAGGAAGACGCGAATTGAGTCCTGGAGTACACAAACAAAGCAGGTTGGAAAAACAAGACCAGTCAAGTCTCGATGTCTGATACAGTCAATATTCTCTTTATTCTTACATGAAACTATTCATCTTCACAGTAAGTTGCAGTCATCGTGTTTTATGCTTTGGAATTTTAACTACTCTGACTTTGTGGTTGAGCAGATTCAGCGACCAATCCGTTGAGCTAGCTCACTAAGAGATCAATCCGTAGTTTTTCGTTCGGATCTCAAAGCCAAAAAGCATGGGTCTCTTCGGTAAATTTCACTTGCTCTTATGGGGCTGTATAATCCGTGTTTCTCCTCGTTGTTCAGTTTCCTACGATTGAGCAATAAGCATCCAGTTATTCGCTGTTTCAGCTTATCACACTGGACCGACAGTCATGAGTTTGGAAAAGCGCTGTCACTGTTGAGCTACTCAATGCTTTCATATGATCACATTATATGATTATATTATTACTCACATGATAATATTATATATATATATGATTTTTTGGTGTAAATAAGGCATGAGCTGAAAAAGTACAAAACACTGGATAGCTGTTTCGACCTGGTTGAGTCTCATCAATGATGAGAATTCGTCGACCCAATTGGGGATCAAACCCTGAACCTCACCGGTAGAGTGTAAACATGCTACCCACTCGACCAAATAGTAGCTGATTAGGTCATTCCTTACTTTGAAAACAAACCATCTCTACGAGCTTGTGCCGAGTGTCGCATCGCGCTTAGCTCAGCACCAGCCTGCAGGGTTATGAATCGATTGGAAACTTGCACAGAGGTTTTATCTTAACTCATAGTGTTCAGTGATCATGACAAATCGAGTCAGGAAAAGGTAGGAGAGTTCTGACTGACCGAAATATGCTGAAAATCGATCAGCATTCAGTGTGGCGGACATAAGAACAATACGCAGATCTGGTCGAACCTCTCGAATTCGTCGAAGCAAAGTGAGGAGAAAATCCGTGAGGAATTCGCGCTCGTGGACCTCATCCACCACAATGTGACTGGCTGTCTGAAAAGAAGACGGAAGCGGGAGAAGGAGAAGTTCAGCTATTGAGCGAACGGTGAGAACTGATAAAATTTATTTATATATGAGACAAAGGATGGCTCCAAGTGCGGCACTGAGTGATGTATCTAATGTGGAACCATTCATTATGAAGCAAATAACCACGTTTACGGGCTAACCTTGAAGAGTAGCACCGACGTGCTGTAAGAGAGAAATGTAACTAGGTAAACAAACGACGGCTGAAAGTTGTTACAGATATGGCGCGATGGCAAAAAAACCTCAGCTTAGAGTGCGGCTTTTATGTGAAGACTGATTGAAAAGAACACGACTAATGTCGGTTGAAATGTAACTGGTGAGCAGTAATGGTTTTCTCTCGAGAAAAGGGATAATGCCAATTTAGTGTTCCAGTGAACTGGTATGTTTCAACCTATAAAACCCTTCAGAAAACCTGTGGTATAGATCAAGGACACGACTTTGCGTCTATGTGAGAGGTGTGCAATTATAAAATCATTGGTGAGTGATGTCTATCCAAGCACTCTTTTATGCTAAAGAGGTGTCTCATGGTGGTCATATTCGTCGTTTTTCGTTGGACGGGTAGAAAACGAACGGCTTACATATACTGCATGCACAGTGGAGGTTGTTCTGACAGATGACGTAATCGGTCGACCTGCATTGTACGAAATATTCGCGCAGATGACGCTCGCGAATTCGGGGTGATGATAGAGTTAACAGTCACATGTTACCACCGCTCAGCAATGGGTCGGGTTATGGTTTTATTGGAGATCTGTGTTTGGTTCTATGCATTCTACTGTGCACAAGGGACAGTTAGTTACCTACACCACTATTACGCAAAGCCTCATAGCCTGGGATCAAATTTGGTTGTGAAAAAAACTGAAGAACTAAATGACTGTAGTTTACCATAGAGTAGTACAAAATTGTATCTATTAATGATTCCATTCATCAGAAACAGGGAACGCGATATGGTTATCAAATATGACTGTCATTCACCATCGCGATATTATTTCTGGTAGAGAAACAAGTCAACAGAGTTACATGCGCAAACACACACACACACACACACACAAAGGCCGTAAGTCGGAGAAACGGTTATAGTTAAATATAAAGTCAGTATCTGTGACGACCGCTAGATCCAGACAGAGGTTGATCAATGCAAGAAGAGGTCAGTGTAAACAACAGCAGCTACTGAATAGTTGAAATGGGGTGGGGATAGACGACTTAATCAAATATAATGTTTTTCAGTTTCCAAAAACTATCTACGGATTACTGAAATACAACTGTCTCACAACGAAAACAACCAGAGACCAAATACCGAATGGTAAAAGACGGGTCAAACAACACCAATGGTCAGGACAATTGGCTACATTACTACCGATTTAAAACGAGAGAGAGAAAAAAAAGCGGCTATAAATGAAACGGTTAGTGTTTATGACCACCCGTGGTGTCACTGACCGCCGTTCAAATATTACCGTACGCTAAAATATTTATTCGCAGACATGAGCGACAAAATCGAACAGGCAACAATGTTTTATAATGATATTTCACACATTTGTCTGGATCACTGCTGAGTTAAAACTGCGTGTAAAACAAACCCCGACACAATAAACTTTATAAAAGTTCCACGATCTGCATGTGGGAGGAATACTGTCAGGTTGCCCCGATCAAAGCAGATAAATCTTCTTGGGGAATTCACAACCGGAGCCTTCGGCTAGATGAACCTGACACACAAGGTAGCGGGACAGCGTGCACAAACTGCTATCCAAGGGGGGGGGCGTGTCCAGTTTCTCGAATCATACACCACCTGGACAGGATCAAACGCTCAAGGTGCCGGGTGCAGCTAAATGTCCAACAAATACCGCTGTCAAAAAGGTAAGTGGTTTGTACCTCTTGGTTGGTTTGTAATCATGATTCCCAACCCCTCAAACTGAACTGAAAGTGGACAGCCGACCCGGTTCTAGTCCCACTTTCGTGGGTAAGTATCTCCACAACGTGATGGCAGTAAGTAGGACTTCCTCAGAGGACACAGAAGCACCAGGATTAACAAGAACGTTCAATCAATACTGATTCGGCTATCTTACCGCGTTTGGAAGGGCAATGAGGAAACCGATACTCAAACAGGCATCAAAAGACTTAGAAAATGTTTAACCTCTTTACACGTTTCAGAATAGTGTTTTGAAAAAGGTCGAAATTAGGCACCATATGTCAGTTACGGACGAATTGAGCCCATTGAGACCAAAGAATAAATAATATAAAACTGCGAACTCCGGCGTACGTTCCCCCAATATCGTACAGCGAATACAGTGAAGCGAACTTCACTGATCGCTGCCAAACTCACAATGCATCAAAATTTAGTGGTAATATGTAAGGTTAACAGGGATTACACCTATTTTGATGGAGGGGGAAGAAACTGGACCTCTATGGTCAAGAAATAAACTAAACAATCTAACTGTGCATACATATCTTTTCAAGCATTTTGGCCTGATAAGAAATTACAACAAGAACGCCACTGCTATCCTTTCGCTGCCATACCCTTCAGTGTATCCGACCAACCAGTTGCAGTCTTTCGAACCCCAACCTGGAAGGCGCGAGACACCTACTCTACCTAATGGCTCTGTGCACTTCTTTATGCCTCGTTTCCAAGTCACCTGTTGACCTCCACGGGTTTTCCGCCTGCTTGGAGCGGTTACAGCGAATAAAGTGCCGTGCGGTTGACGACAGCTGAGTATACATAATACGTGTACTAGCCAGCGGAGTCTAGTAATCTGAATTCAATTCCCAGATAAACTCCCAAACATACGATGGCTTACCTAATAAAATGTTTTTTTGCTTCCATTTTCTATTTATTGAATATACAAATGTACAGTTAACTTTCAGGAAGAGGGCTGCGGCCATACAAAGGCTGCCTGGGGAGAAGACGGTGATGTCTAGTCCGTTCGCTCCACCCAACCTGGGCTCAACTACGTAAACACCGATAATCAAAAACTTCTAGTCGACCAATGTCTCCCAAGCACAAATTTAGGGCCCCACAATAGTAAAGCCCTCAAATGCTCGACCATGATATGTGCACGAAATGCAGACTGGATTATTCCATTTCAGGACAATGTAGCTGAAATCAACCTGAACTGGGTAACACCTCCATTTTCATAGATTGTTACCATCAAAAACAAAAACGGACTCGTTCAAATACCCGGTTACCGAGCCAGACGGAAATGCACGTCCTAGAGTTATCAATCTTAGTTAGGACATATTGAAGTGACAGCATATTGATACAGATAAGCGGTTAGGCTATGTCGCTAAAAATCCTCATAGATTAACCTGGATTAATATACCGGACTGATGCTGTTGGGTGTTATGTGATCGACATGATTCGGTTATTACTAGCACATTATCATCCGCCGGTCAGCTTTGCATTAGAACACCATTCGGATGTCTATCGAGCTGGTTGAAACACGTCTCCCTTTCTTCATCCATCCCTATCCACAAATTTGAATTTGGGGATGAGGTCATCCACATCCGTAAAATGGAGAGATAAATATATAGGCCAGCGGCTGAACACACTGAACCTGGGCACAATAAACCTCACAACTGGAGAGAAGTCAAACGCGCAAAGCTCCTACGTAATTCACCACTCTGAATAGGTAGACAGTAAAACACTAGATCAATAGCGAGAAGTCACTCCGCATTTTTCACTAGCAGAGGTGAAAGGAAGCAATTACCGGAACCTTAATTTTCTCCAATAGAAAAACCTTTATGTCACCTTGGATCTAATTATGAGATAATTGTTAACCTGTCAGTGCAATCCCCCTCGCCATACTACTTTATCTCCCCCATACGCAGTATGTGCTGGCTGCGAGACAGTGAAATGCACCGCGCAATTTCGCTTACTGTTTGATCCACATAAGAAACGGAAGTTTGGAACTTCGGTCACCACAAAATTATCGACCACATCTGGTATTATTTGGTAGTGCGCTAATTAAGTGAAATCCAGAAGCGAAGAAGAAGGATCGTAATAAGAATAAATTTAATACGGCTTGTCCAAAACCAACGCCTATGCCTTAGCTACGAAAACTCGAAAGAAGACGGTTGTGAACAAGAGTGGCATGTTCGGGCAGAACCGCATTTCGGCTACAACCCAAAGTAGTTTTTTTGAAAAGTAATTAGCAGATTTCTATCCGAAAACCCAAAAGAGCAGCCTAGAAATCGATTTTTAAATAACAGACGATCGTGTAGTTTCACATTTTTCTTGAAATTCCCATTTAACTGTGAGTCATTTCTTTATGGTAACACGCTAACGATGTATATCATAAGATGTGAATGCTCTAACTACAGAGATTAATTGCTCGGTTTTACAAAGCCAGTAATCTTGGTCTTGACACGAAGTTAAAGAGGACAGCTTAATCTAGGATCATGATTCAGCCACAAATGTATTACTAGTACGAGCAGAATTTATATCGGTGGTGATTTCCTCTCATTTACAATGACTGAATGCTCACTAGATAAATCAAATGCAGAAAAATCGTTTCGCGCTACCCGAGGTGGGTACCAAAATACTGTGGAAAACCATAAATAAAGTGTCCAGTAGTATGAATAGACAACAGTTCAAACTGACAACAAGCACTGGAGAGCTATAACATGTTTGCAAATCACATTACAGGGTACATTGATCCACATAAGGACGTGCATTGTTTCGTACGATACGTAAGATCATGGTTAGGAATAATTTTACTCTCCATTGCTTTGTACAGTTAATTGTTAACTACTGAGACCCTGTCGCTCATTCTGGAGTGTATACAATTTTACAAGATATACCGTGAGGGTGATCGGCCTTTAGAATGAACACAGCATACAGGTGATATTTTACTGCAGCCCTCGATGGTCTACTCACTACATAGCAAGTAGTCTCAATATAAACGTTTCTTTGAATAAACAACTTACCCGTAACATGGGATCGGACTGGAGTCCCTGCAGCACTATACCAGTGGTGCAATACATGATTGAACCAGAGTGACGTCTTGGAAATCGATGTTCCAAACGTACTTGATAACCAATGGATTGACCGATCTCCTCTCCTCTTTCTGCAGCAACGCGCTCTGCTACCGAGATCGCACTGATCCGGCGAGGCTGAGTCACCACAATTCGCGTTGTTGAACCCTTCCCTTGCGAAATCTGATCTTCCAAAATAAACTGAGGAATTTGGGTCGTTTTCCCACATCCAGTGGCACCACTGATAACCACAGCTTGGTTGGCCTCGATTGCGTCCAATATTTCCTGAAAGATTGACGAAAAAACATCAGGGTGTAACAGTGTTCTGCATTATGAAACTTCTTGGCTTTCCAGTTAGACAACAAGCGATCGGAATGTATGAATCATTAACTCTAACGGAATGACGTGCTTTATTTTTCCCGAAGGCCACTGAGACAGTTGCTGAATCTCTGGATCAAATCTCAGAGAGGAATTCCGACTTTAATCCAAAAAGGGCGGAAGGATAGATGAATACCTCAATATTTCACTGTAAAAATAGGCACAACAAAAACTTACACGTCTTTGAGCATGGACGGGCAGCTTTTGACGTCCCGGAAGCATTGATAAATAGCGCGGAGAAGATTGTTGAATAGTTAATTGTTCAGCCAGCAACCGATCCAACTCTGGACGACGAGAAAGTACTTCACTTGCAGTACCAATGGGTTCAATCGATTTGGCGGATGGAACAGAAGGTGTGGATACATCCAGGGTATCTCCCATTGTATCAATTAGTTCTTCTACTTCCTCCAAGTCATCATTTGTCATGCCTGTCTCAGAAACCGAATCCATAGTACTTTGGGAGATTACGCTTTGTCGCGAACCCACGGAACTGACTGATGTTTTGTCCTTACACGCAGTAGGATCTGCATTTTGTGCACAGCGAAACTGGTTAATCACATTGTGAATACGGGCAGGATCAATACCCGTAATGTCCAGTGGTACAATCTGTGTGGTTCAGGTGCATAGAGATACAGAAAACAGAACGATCCAAGTGGATAATGAATTGCTCTAGAATATAGACTGTGTTCACCAGAGCAAGAATGATAAAGGTAGATCGAAATATCCCAATATTAACAAGTTAAAGAAAGGCGAGTGCTCAGGCTATAAAATACTCAATAGGCAAAGGACCTGCACTCGTCTGGGTTCAGTGAAACACTGTTTTACCACTGTGGCCATAAATGCACGGCAAACAGAACCAGTCAGAACTTTGCATCTTAATAAACACAAACAACTGCAATTTAAACTGCCAGCCATATCAATAATAACAACTGCGGTAATTGATAACATTCAATGAGCGGGTATACGCGTCAGTCGATGCTACTGATTGTAAACCAAGGACAATGCCGTGAATCCTATCCCATCGTCGACTTGTTTCTCGATCGACGTTTATTGAAACATTTCTAGAAAACAAGATGCTCACAAAACTCATCCACATCGTGAGTGCTGACATTTCACTAGACCTTTTGGGTTCATGGCGCTCTATTTCCTTTTCCTTGGAGGTTTAACTTCAACCCCAACCCAGAGAGGAACTGTCTACTAGTGTACCCCGTAGCCCGGTCGCCTTCCTACTCTTAACATCGGTCCCCTGTCCTCTTTCACTCAATAAGCCCCATATCATCTCCACACGCGAGACCACGAGCCGGGTACATCTTGTCACGCATCTGTCTCTGCTGCACTAGGAGAGCCCGAAATACGTTCCACCTCCATAGACTTTGCTGGTTGGTACATGTTTGCTGAGGTAGGTAGTGGGTGGAAAAAGGTCAAGGGTGGTCAGACTAAGACCTGATATGAGGGTATGAAAACCTAATCATAAGACTCAGTCACATAGGTCCCGTTAGGCTGCCTCGGTAGGGACCGCAAAATCACGGTAACCGGTGGTTGGAGACCTTGAAATATACGGTTCAGTATAGTAAACAATGATGCTGATTCACCTACTAGTTATCCCTGTAACTCCAATCTGTATGAATTCTCTTTATTCTCTATGACCCTGTTCTCAATACTTCAATCTCCCTTCCGCTCTTTTATACCAACGGGCAGCCAAAAGACAGCAACCAAAGCCGACGTACGAAAGTTCATGGTTAATGGTTGTAAAGACGGAATTGAGCTGAACATGTATAAGGACTACTTGTTCCGAGAAGCCTTTTATCTATGGTTGCAAGGGGTGCCAAGATTCCGTGAGCACTGACCGCTTAAAATCTAGACTCAAAATTCGATTTACACGCCACACACTCTTATCTTCGTAACCATCACTTCAGCCACAACCAACCGCCTAACACAAACTTACACATAAGTTAGACAGACCTACACAAGAATTTAAACCTCTAGACATTCCAAGTGCTACATGTGCTGGTCGAAAAGCACGCTGACTCGTTCGCTAGCTTTATTATTTTACTTTCCTTCTCACTTTATTGAACACTGTTTGCGCTTTCACACCAGGTGTCTTAGTGTCTTATTTTTTATACACTTAAAAATCATTATTGTATATGTTGTTTTAATGCAAAAATATTTTAAAAAATACAAAAACCATTAATGTACGTGTTCTCATTGTTTTTCAGGGGCAGTACAAACTTATTAGTTAATTTTAGGGGGTCCACTAATGGTCGCTGGAATCCGTTTCAGCTCCATCGGGAACTATCAACCGGGATCATCTTCTTAAGAGTAGAATATCTCAAGCAGTTGGGTAACCTTCCTGTAACCTTCCTTCACAACTATGCGCGGACAACAAGACAGCAGTGTGCTGGTGCGTGCACAATCTAACTGTGCAAGCATACTTCTGCAAGCATTCTGGCTCAATAAGAAACGACGGCAGGAACGCCACTGCTGTCAGTTCGCCGCTATATTCTTTAATGTATCCAACCCACCAGTTGCAGTCTTTTGGACTCAAACCTATTCGTTCTCTGCATTTTTTTCATGTCTCCACGTGATTTCCTCAAACCGGGAGCAGCAGCGAAGAACAACCTGCAGTATGGCAGTTAGCAGTTGGAAATGAGTCGTAAATGTCCTAACTAACGAAGACAACCAACGTGAATTAGATGTGAAGTCTACAACGAACCATTGTTAAATACGGTAATACAGATCAACCAGGAATAGTGAACGCGGTTCTGTACCCCAAGAACAGTGTTATGACGATCTTAGAGTTCCTGTTTGGAGCTGAGATCGTTGGGTGAATAAGCTAAGCAACAGCATAAAGTGTGCAGCACGAAAAGTGGCGAAAAGGTTGGTATCACTTTTGGTTTACTTTGTGGCAGTTATCAAAACAGAGGAACTCACTTTAGATGGCTTATCATCTTTTCTACGATTCGCATTTTGAGCAGCATACCATAAACCAATCCGTTTACCCGATAATCCCGGGGGATGTCTTGGAGTGTGTGTTCTTACCTTATCCGTGTTAGATGGTCTAACCCTCTTATTATCTGCAGATGATAAAATGTTTAATAAATAGAATGGTAGCACTCACTTGGCATTTGTGACTCATTCGAATCTGCCCAATGTAGTGAACGGAAAATCAAACGAAACCGAGGGTTGGAATGAAAAAGATGATTACGTCCGTTTAAAACTCCCTTCAAAACGTTCAAGATCTGGAAATGAAAGTGGTGTTGCAGATTATTATCGCACCACGAATACCTGAATGATTTGTTAGTAAAGTATACTACATAAAGGGCAGTAGGTGGAGTGGACTAAATTCTGTGAAACTATTTCAACTTCGCAGTTCTTCGCATTTATCAAATGATCATCATCATCAGTGTACAGCGTATTACAGTAAAGTGAACTTCACTAATTGCTGCCAAACTCATAATGCATACTAGGTAAGTGACAATGTGTAAGGAGGATAGGTATTGGATTTACTTTTAGGGATGGAAAAAGAAAGCGAACCTCTATGGTCAACACAGAGTACACAGTCCAACTGAGCATACATAATATTTCAGGCATTCTTGTCTGATAAGAAGTGATAGTACGATCACCATTGCTGTCGGTTCGCAGTCATGACTTTCAGTGTCTCCAACTATGCGGTTGCGAAGTCTTTTGGATCCCAACTCGGAAGACCAGACAGCTACTCTACCTAATCGCTCTGTGCATTTATTCATGCTTCGTCTCCAAGTTATCTGCTGGCCTCTACGTAACTTTCTCCAGCCTGCAACAGCTACTGCGAATAAGGCGCGCTGCGGCAAGCGATCGTCAGACAGGCAAAACACATCCTAACCAACGGAGCCCATTGGGCTGGATTCGGCGTGATAGCGAGTTCTTGTTCGATGTTTTTCCGAACACCCGTCGACTGACTTCTAACTTACTAACCCGCCCATTCCATCCCACCTAGGTCAGACTATATAACCATCGATTGTCGAAAACCACTAGGCGACGGATGTCCTCTACTCGTAAATCAAAGGTTTCACTACCGTAAAACAGAACTGATCGTATAGTAGCGCAGTATACACGACTTTTCAACTTCAGTGAGACGTCATGTCGGCGCCACGGGTATTTACTTCCTGCTTAAGCTTCTCGAGGTTCGAGCCCCGCCACCACCACCTAACTTTGGTGGTAGACAGTTTGCTGTCGTCCGGTTCAATACCAAACCTAACCTATCGGGGCCTTGTGTGGATTGGCAGTCCAAGTCCTGGGGATTCGGTTGCCGGTGCTAGTGACTATGGGGCTTTCCTCGTCTCCTGTTCATCACACGAAAGTGTGCAATAAAAAAATGCGGGCGGTTATCTCCTTTGATGCACTACCGTCGTTGGTTACACAGTTACCGAAGTACGAGAAGCAGCCAACTTCAGCTAATTCCTGACTGTCTAGTTTCAGAACAAAACTCGGCGACACCCAATTTTGCAGCAGCACTTTGCACTTTGAAAATGCAATGCACATACCGAAAATAGCAACAGCACTTGTTAGTCTATCAAGTGCACTTTGCGTGTCCTCCAAATATTTGAACAGACAGACGATGTCATCGGCTTACTCAAAATCGCACAGTTTTTCTCCAGCTGTACATTCAATACCTACGTTTTGGAGACCACTAAGTGCGTCATTCAGTATTTCGTCTACGACGAAATTGAACAGGAACGGCGAAGGAGGGCACCCTTGACGAACGCCGCTGCTGGAGACGAACGGCTTACTTAGTTCAGTATAGACCCTTACACGACGAGAGGTACGTGAGTACAGTGACCTCATTAAGTTAACGTACTTCTGGGATATTCCTTTCGAAGAAGGGAACCGCTTCGCGGTCAACTGAGTTGAAGGCTCCTCTTAGGTCAAGGAACACCGTGATCGTTGGTCGCTGGTTGGGGTGACGCAACTCCACGGCCAGGTCGGAATCCGGCTTGCTGTTCACGAATATTAATCTCTCTTAAAGGAGTCAGAAGTCGAACTATGATAGAGGCTAGCACTTTGGCGACGACCGGGATCAAACTTATCTCGCGGTTGTTTTCGCAATCGTTGTGAGATTCTTTCTTGAAAATGGGAACGATCAGTGACTCGCCCCAAGATGAAGGAATGTGTTCTTGCGTCCAAATGTTGCGCAGTAGGTTAGTGATACATCTTACGAGTT